ATACTGGAAGAGAGAAAGTCTGTCTCTTTCTGAAAGTATAGCTACAAACCCAGAGCTAGTGTGCACCATCTTTGCCCTCACTGTATTTAACAAGACATGTCTTGGTTAACACTGAAAAATGTCATCCACTTTCTACAAAAAAGGGCAAATCTGTCCCTGTTCGGCTTGTCCACTATTTTCCTCCTTTGTGGCTTAGGGTACAGCCAGGTGTCAGTGGCTTTATTTTTTTATTGTTACCTTTGCTGGACAGATGTAAGATACCCACCCCTGAAAAGTCAACAGGATAAGACCAAATTGAGATAAATGGTCTGAACTATAAGCAAAATCAGGTTCTGTCAATTCTGCCCCTTAAATACCTCTCCACCCCTCTTTGTGCTCTCCACCCTGACCTGTACTGCCCAAGGCCATTTCCTGGTACTGCTTGCCTGGATTACTGCCCTGACTGGTCTAACGGTCTCCAGTCTTAGATGCTTCAAACCCATCATACAATCGGTGGACTAGTAGATCTTTCTAAAATGTAAATGTGACCGGGCGCCTGGGTGGCTCAGTTGGTTAAGCGACTGCCTTCGGCTCAGGTCATGATCCTGGAGTCCCGGGATCGAGTCCCGCATCGGGCTCCCTGCTCGGCAGGGAGTCTGCTTCTCCCTCTGACTCTCCCCCCTCTCATGCTCTCTCTCTCTATCTCATTGTCTCTCTCAAATAAATAAATTAAAAAAAAAAATCTAAAATGTAAATGTGACCACATTCCTGTCCTACTTAAACCCTTCAGTGATTCCTTCTCGTTCTCCAAGTTAAATCCATGATGCGTAAGAGCCTTCACGGTGTGGCCTCCACCCGGACAACCCCTTGCCATCTCCATAATGAATACTCTTTTTTAAGAACTTAACCTTGGAGCCATTTCCAAGGTCATATTTGTAGTACAGTGATTTTAGTTCTCCAAATGTTCCCCCAAAATGTGTGGGTTAGGTAAATGATGGTGCACACATATCATGGAATACTCTGCGGGAAATAAAAGTGATATGGGGGAATATTAGTAATGTTTGTCTCAACCATGGGTGGGGTTGGGCAAGTTTTACTTTATCCTTTATGCTTTTCTATATCTTATTATTATTTTTTTTTTTTTAGAGAGACAGCACAGGGTGGGGACGGGGAGAGAGAGGGAGAGAGAGAATCCCAAGCAGGCTCCACACCCAGCACAGAGCCTGATGCAGGGGGCTCGATCTCACAACCCTGAGATCATGATCTGGGCTGATATCAAGAGTTGGACGCTTAACTGACTGAGCTCCAAGCATAGTCTATTTTAATAATTAGTAAGGCCATTGCCATTTAAAACAAATTGTTGGATGACCCACGTTTTCATCATCAACATGTACACACCAAATGAGATGTGGAATGACAGGCTTTAAAACCGAGCTACTTATTTTGCTCTGAGTGTAGAATAATTATGTGTCATCTCCTCTGTGAGTCTGCTTGTCAGTATGCAGGGCCACTGAGGCACTGTCAAAAGCTCAGACAATGACATGGAAGGGACCCTGTCCCCCTCAATAGGCCATTTTCCAGACAAGGAGCATGGTAGGCCGCCCTATTGGCTGGCAGTTTAAGGAATGGCCCTGATGCTGTCCCATCACTGTGACTTGTTTCTTTCATCTGTGTTTTCTCTGTCATTCTGTTCACTCCGGTTTCCTTTGCTGCCCACTTAATTCTCTCTCTCTCCCCCATATACTTCTCTGCTCTGTTTCTTCCAGCTCTTTGCGAAGCAAGGCAGCCAAAGGACAGAAAATGAAACTGCAATTTCAAGCCATTATTTCAAATCACATTTGCAAAGTCTCTATCCCTACCTAATGCCACAGATCAGTGGTGGGGATTGGCCACCGGAGAAAGCCAGACAAAACCCCCTAAAGAAGATTCCAGGGCTGCACCCACCCTCCTGGAAGGTCACCGTGAACACAGCAGAGTACAGAGGAGTCACCAGAAAATAAGCTCTGTGTCCAAAGCCCTATAAAAACCAAGGCTTCCTCTTCTCGGCATCAGAGCCTTCAGGATCTGGGCTCGGGGGTGCACAGAGGGAAGGAGAGAGAATGGGCTCAGAGAGTTGGTCTAAAGCCTCTAAAGTTCTTACAATTAAGTCAGGTTTTCTTCCGAGTCTGGGATCTGGCCCTTGCCGGCCCTCCTAATGTCATCTTTGGATTCCTAGCACAAAGCCCCCAGTATCCAGGCCCATAGGATTACTCAAAGCTCCCCCCAGGAACGATTTCTCTCACCTGTGTGCTTTTGCAACTTCTGTGATTGGAGGTCAGCACTGCCTTCTCTGGCCCTCACCTGCCCAAGCCCAGCCCCACATGGACGACACCTAGTTTTCTAGGAAGCTTACCTAAGACAATCACTTTTCCTTGAAAAGATCCTTGACTACCGCACACTGGTGTCCAGCCTGGTTTCATTCCTCTCCTCCGTGCCTCACCGCCCCCCGATGTACCTGTGTCCCAGCACCAACCCACCACGGGTCCTGCTGGCTCTCCCTCTCCTTGCCCTCTCTGATGGCAGGATGCTACTCTGGCACTTGCCTGGCCGCTGGTACGAATGGACACTCAATTCAGGCTTGTTGAATTAACTCAGTCACCTGATAAGCAACAGGAACTGGGATAATCCAGGTTGTGGGGTTGTGCAGAAAACCCCCTCCACCACAGAAAGAGTTTAACTGAGTGGGAAGTGGGGTGCTGGGGAAATGCTGTTTGGGTCTCAGGGGAGTAGACACCCAGCAGCCTGCCACCCCGGGGACCCTCTCTAAGGCCACTCTCTCCCGACTTATAGTCACCTCTCTCCCTAGCTGGATGCTTCGGCTCTCTCCCCTGTGCACTGGGAGAATGAACCACCCGAACTGTGCGGTTATCACCAGGGATGTTAGTGCTATTTCCTGCACCTAACAGAAAGGAAGCTTCTCCAAGGAATGGGAAATTGGTGGGTTTCTTCATAAAAGTCCAGGAAAAGATATTTTATTCACCTGGCTTATCGTTCTCCCAAGTCCAAAAATGATCCATATGGAATGCAAGGAAAATGAGAACACAGTTTTCTTTCCACGCTATTCCTTGGAGTAATGGCACATTCTTAAAACACTGGTGTCAGAGCATTAAAACCCCCCTAATTCATGATATACACACAAACCAGGGAAAGAGGGGCCTTATACCAGGTTCGGGAGTGTGGTTAACTCCACATAACACCTTCCACGCTGGAAAAAACAAGTGTCTCTTAAATACACTCCCTGCGCTTGGCCCTGGGTACTCACCGGTTCTGCCCTAAAAAATATAGTTTCGTGGGGCAATTGTGACAAAGGTAAGCATGGAGGGCCGCTAGCTTATCGATACTTTTAATTTCAAGAGTAATAGGAGTCCATTGCCCAGAAGAGCCATAAAAAGGGAGAAGGAGCCAAGAAAGTTTCCTGTCGCCCAGGAGAAATACGAAGAATAACAATATTCACTCAATATTAGTAATATTACATACTATTAAATGGAACATCAATAAATGTTCACCCCAGGGTAATAAAAATGCAGGGTGGCTGGGACACACTAGACAGGACTTCTACTGCAGTAGATGCTCGTTTGCTTTCCAGCTTGGCTAACAGAAAGCGAATTTACCCCACATGCACACAGATGAATAGTTATCGAGGAGAAACCGACGTGGAATTAAAACAAACCAAAATATCCAAAAAATAATAATAATAAATAAAAATAAATTAAAAATAAATTTTAAAAAAACAAACCAAAATAAACAAACAAAAAACACGAACCCCAAAGAGGGAGGCCAATAGCCTGTCACATGTGTTGGCAGGGACAGGTTCGGCAAGCTAAGTCCCAGCCTCAGTGACTGGGAAAACGATGCTGAATCCAAGGCCCCCAAAGTGCAGGTGTATTAATTATAAATCACAAAATCCAGAAGTGTCCTGTTTTTAATCATTTATCAAACACGTCAACCTAAGAGGAAATGGAACATTAGCAGTGAGCTTCTTAAAGTGTAATTTCCTATAAGAAAAATTTATGGCCTGTACTTATTCTCCATTAGAGGACGTCTAACCTCTCTTATTAGTTTATTCATCAAGGCAGCCTGGTTTCGGGCCAGCTCTGCAAACCCGCAGGTCATCAGGAAAGGGATCTCTAGGGGATTTTTCCTCCTGGTCCAGTAGTGTTTTCCAGATCATAACACAGTTAACAGAAGTAGTCATGGTGCATTCGGCAGGAGGTTTTTAGGTATTCCCCAAAAGGCAATTCACAGAGCAAGCCCCAGGGACTACCCTGGCTATAAAGTGAACACCCAAAATGTACTTTGAAATGAAATGATTTTCTGTTTGCCATATGAGGTTTGTGATTGTCTTTCTCAAAGAGCACTGCTTCCCTTGCTTTTACGTTCAGGTTCAATTTCTTATTTAATGATGTAATAAAGGGGCGATTCAGAACCTGGAAGCAAGGACTTCCCAATCAATGAGCTGCTCGATTCTTCATCCACTGGGCACCGTCTCTCCAGGATGCTATGGCCGATTTCCAAGCAACCCGCACAGCCCCCCAAAACTGTCTCCTTCCCCACATGCACAGCTGTTTCTCTGTTTATCAGATAGTCCCCAGCTCTGCAGGGGAGAGTAACCCAAGCCCTACTCTGGGCTTTCTCCAGATCTCTGTGTTAGATCACTCTGTTTTTTGGTTTTCTTTTTAAGATTTTATTTATTTATTTGACAGAGAGAGAGAGAGAGCACAAGTAGAGGGAACAGGAGAGGGAGAAGCAGGCTCCCCGCTGAGCAGGGAGCCGGATGTGGGGCTCAATCCCAGGACCCTGGGATCATGACCTGAGCTGAAGGCAGACGCTTAACTGACTGAGCCACCCAGGCACCCCTAGAGCACTCTTTCTGAGACTAACAGAACTCTCACCTTACAATGATGAAAACAAAAACACCTGATATTTACAACTTGGCAATGGGGGCCAGAGCAAGGAAAAAAATGTGAATATGAACATCTTACCTTGTTTTAAGGATATTCAGAAACTGCAAAATTTCTGAAAACTGTATCAGTCTGAGAGCTCTTAAAAATCTCAAACCTGGAAAGAGAAATGAAATAGAGACACATTATTCTCACTGCGTGGTTTTAATGTTCACACTCTGCCGTTTGATCTACGGCTGCCAAGGTTGAAGGGATATGAAGTTCTTGCAGAAGATTAAACCATCCGGTACCTTGGACATGGTCCTTCATTCTGATTCTTGACTGGTTTAATCTCCACTGCTAAACTTTCTCATTAAAGGAGGCCTGTTTTGAGCCACTGCAGAGGAAGGTGGGGAAAGCCCAGTTAAATGACGCTTCTCTCTTGTCCATCTCAGATTTAAAGCATTGTTTCTAAGTTACCTACTATTTTGAGAGGATTTTGTCTCTGAAAGGTACTGGGATTGGGGGAGGGTAACCTTTGCGCTAAGAGCAGATTACAAACAAATCGGATAACCTGATGATTTGATTTTTTTTAAACTTTATCTTCAGCTGATAAAATGAAGAGTATAGCTCACATTGTGATCCGTTTTCTAGAAAAGTTCTATATTTTTCTCCCAATCAAAAAAAAAAAAATCAGATCAGTAAGATCTCACACCACGTAACTTCAGGATCCAAAATGTATATATTTCCACTTTTAATAAGCATCAAGATAAATGTCTATCCTTTCTAAATTGGCAACCTCTGCTGAATGGAAATCAAGAGCCAGCATTTCTAGACAGCAGAAGAGAGGCAGGTACCGGGAAGGAAGCTACGATCCAGGATTAGAGAAAATACAAATTATTGTTGTGTTTTAATAGCCAGGGCTAATATATATTTCTGTTGAGATCAAATTCATGAGTCAAAAACATTCTGAGTCACTCATGGTGCTTTCATGCTTGGCCATCAAGTAAGAAAATTACTTACAAAATGCTGATTATCACAGCTTTGAGATAGTTTCAATATCACACACTTTGCTAAGGGGATTTTCTTTTACAGATTTTTGGAAAGCGTTTTGTCAAGCGCCCCCACGTGCCAAGTGCAGTGCTAAGCACAGAGTGGGCTAAATTGGTGACAGGCAGCTCTTAGCCGTTGGGTGAGACTTCATTCTGCCCCCATCCGTGAGGCAGGAAGTGGTGGAAAAAAGCTGGGGGAGTCACTGCAATGATCAAGGGAAGGAGACAGATGGGAAGTTCTCCACTGTACAGCTCCACATTGGACCCAGTTAGATTTCGCCTTGTTCAAGGACTAGGGGGCAAGGAAGGACTAATCCAAAGCCCAGGAGGGGAAAAAAAAAAAATCTCACTGCACAAGAGGGAGAAAGGGATAATAGCTCAAAAGGGAAATTTCTCATCTAAAAAGGATTTACCTTCATGAACAGAAGATTTTCTCTGAAGATGCTGGCCTTCTATGCCAAATGATATTTATATTACTTTTATTAAACCAGAAAGCGCAGAGATGAGAAGGGATGTTGATGAACTGAAGGCCCAGGAGCCAAAACACAGTCCTAAGAGAACTGATGAAAGGTTCACTTAACGCAGCTGAACACTGCAGCGAACAAAACTGAGAAGTAATCCCAGAACACAGAGAACATAAAGAAAAGGGAGAAAAAAGGATGAAATCTAAAAAAATGGAAATGGAGGGGAGATCACAGAAATCCAACCTATGAATAAAATGTTCCAGAGGGAAATACAAACAACCTGTAGATTATAAGTAATGGCCGGGACATAATAGAAAAGAACTTTCTAGAAAGCCAAAAAGGACTCGAGATTAAGAAGCAAAATAAATGACCAACTCTTAGAAACTCATGTCGAGGAGTATCTGCCTCTTCTTTTCTTCAAATTTTAAGTATTAACATAAATTTTTAAAAAAGTGTCAGGGTGGAGAGAGGGTCACCATGAATGCCACAAAGACTACATGATTTAATAGTAGGTGTAAATGACAATGGGCAACACTCAGAATCTTAAGACAAGGAGAATCTACCCCAGGACTTCTATACCTGTCAAGCACTTGTTCAACAATAAAGAAAACAAAACAAAACAAAAAATGTCTTCAAAAACCCAGGATCCCAGAAAATATATTGTTTGTGCAAAATATTTTCAAAGTTCTCAAGCCTCATTCAATCAGAATGAATAGCAGAGGCTGAGGGCTATATTTTTAATAAACTCTACTGTTGGTCCTAAGCATCCAGCCCAAGCTAGATGGCTGGTCTCAGTCCAGCATCATCGGCAAACACTGCTGGGAGATAAAGGAACACATTTAGAAACTTGAGGTAGAAGACTAGCAGCACTGAAACCTGTCAGGGCACAGAAGGATGCTTTAGTCCTATATCAGCTGCTAATGGTTTCAGCCTGAAAATCCTGTGTGTGTGTATGTGTGTGTGTGTTTATTTATATATTTATGTATGCATATATATATTTGTGTGTATATATATATTTTTTTTCATTTATGGAAACAAAAATAGAATACAAATGACCCAAGCTTTGAACTGGATTTCTTTCTTTTTACTGTAGGTGATACTCTTTGCATCCTCTATAATTTGTCTGTAGCTTCCCACATTTTAAAGTGACTCACAAAAATAGAATAGAATAAAAGCTTCCCTTGTAATGGAGCTGTATGGAAATAAGAGTAGGAAATACAGTGAATGCAGAGCCACAGATCCTATACTCTTGCTAGAGGTGAACTATAGATCTAGCTCTGAGCACTTTGTCAATAAAAAAGCAGGGAGACACTAGAAGATTAACAATGTACAGGAGAGAAAAACAAGCTGGTTCTCAAGGGAACAGCTTTTCCCAGGATGGAGACAGGAAAGAACTGGGTCCCGGAAAAAGCGACCCCAGATGATACAGGAACATTCTCATGGGCTGAACAACGGTGGGCTTTTATTTGACTGCCTTGTGTGGGTCATTTTCATGGCATTGGCTTTCATTAATACAAATGAGTAAACAAAGTTCTACGTGGGCTAAAAGAAAGCAGTCTGCATTTTATCCTTAGATTAAACCAAACTGTCTGGAGAAATGGTCATCTGAAGCACGTACCCTTCTGCTCCCTAACTGCTTTCTGCCCTTGACCCTGCTGGCCGATTCTCAGCATAGCAGCCAGAATGAACCTGGTAAAAAGTAAAATAGATCACGCCTCTCCTCTGCTCAAAATCCTCCAATGTCCCCATTTCACACAGAGTAAAAGTCAAAGTCCTCCAAGGACCCAAAGCAACACCACCCCATTTCCTTTCGGATCTGAGGGCCTCCTCCTGCTTCTGACATTATTCTCCTTCTGACCTGGCTGCCTTCCTCCATGATCCATCTCTGCCAGTATAGACATGCTCCTGCCCCGGGGTCCCTCACCATGGCACATGCTTGCTGTCTTCCCCGCATGGCCGCGGGGTGCATGCCCACACCTCCGGCAGAGGTATCCTTCCTGCAGCCACCTCAGTGAGACCTACCCTGGCTACCCCACCCAAACCGCAAGGCCCCTCCTTCTCCGCCCCCCAAATTCTTGCTCCTGTGCCCACTTTACTTTTCTGCACACCATGACGAAGCACTAGCGCTTTATTTACCTAAGTGATTTACCTCTGACTCCTTAGCCATAGCATCAGCTTGATGAGGGGAGGAAATGCGTCTGCTTTGCTCGTGGCTTTAAATTTGTGCCTGGCGTAAGGTGAGTGCTCAATAAATACCCACCTGAACTGAAGAAATGGATCAGCCTTTTGAAAAAGAATGAGCAGAGAGTTAAAGGGTACATACTCTGCATTCAGAACACTGAGACCACCCAGGCAGGGTGGTCTTATCCTGAAGAAAAGAGCCATGAGCGCTGAGGGCTCACCTGACAGGTGAGGGCTGACACCCTTAGGACATCTAAAGCATCCTAACCAGGGAAAAGCCATAAACCATGGTCACTCTGCTGCACCCAGAGAGGTCCTATAGAAATACAGACAGCAACTCAAATTACATAAAGGAGACCAAGAAAAGGGAGAGGTGGAATGGACAATGCCTCATTGACAAATCACTCATCTTTTTTACTTTATAATATTGTATTCTTATCATTTATTCCCTATAACTTAAAATCTCCGAAATAAAATGATATTCTAGGAAAATATAAAATGACTCTGATAGAGAAGAATATGTAAAGAAGAAAATGTGTGTGTACCAAAAACCATGATTTATGCCCCCACAAAGATCCAGATGAGTTCAAGTGAGTTCCTTTAAATATTGAGAAACAGTAAACTTCTTCATTATATTGCCAACTAATTAAAATGGACTATTTTCTCATTTTCTGTACTCTGCATTGGTTTAGAAAGCTGGAATTACCTGGACATAGGTACTCCACACATTGAGGGGAAAAAAGGTAAGCTCATCACACTAATGACTAACTATAAGAATCCTAAATAAAACACTTCTATATCATATCTGAGACTATATTAAATGAATAACACACATGAGCTGTAGTGGATATTGTGAGGCACAGCCCAGGTCCCTTCTTCAGAGATCTTTATTCTTTTTTTAAGATTTTATTTATTTGTCAGAGAGAGAGAGAGAGAGCACAAGCAGGGGGAGTGGCATGCAGAGGGAGAAGCAGGCTCCCCACTGAGCAAGGAGCTCAATGCAGGACTCGATCTCAGGACCCTGGGATCATGACCTGAGCCGACGGCAGACGCTTAACTGACTGAGCCACCCAGGCACCCCAGAGAGATCTTCACTATTCCCTGATTTGTGAAGAGGTCTCACCTAAGGTTATACACTTGCCAGGGATGGCCCCCAATAACCAGTAGACGTGGGGACAAACACTCGCTGCGCTGCCTCCATTTGGGACAACCTTAAGGAGCCATCCAGCTGTAGAGTTCTACATGGCATTGGCTGGGGCCTCTGTTGCAACTGTACCAGAGCTGGAGCTCTCCACCCAGTCTTAGTACCTTCATCTCTCGACTCATACCCTGAAGACACAAAGGTTCAAAATCTTTGGGATGCAGCAAGAGCAGTTCTGACTAAAGTTCATCAATTTTGTATATCTTTTCAAAGAACCAGCTCTTAAGTTTCACTGATCTTTTCTATTTTTCTATTTTGTCTCTATTTCACTTATTTCCAC